GCCAGCTGAAAACCCTCCACAACTCCTTCCTGCTCCGTCTCCCTCAACCCGGTCCAACAGGTGTCCTGGACACCGCACACAAATGGTCACCACCGTGTTTTTAGAGCAGCGGGTTCCCAATCTGTGGTATGCGTACCAGCAGTGGACAACCTGTCAGTGGCGCGCGTTAACAGATGTATTATCATTACTTGGTATGACAAAAATGTGCTGGTGGTACTTAAGGTTGTATTGTTTTAAATTGGTGGTGCTCAATCTGTCGGAGTTTGGGAACCGCTGTTTTAGAGGATTATTCCCATCTATTGGGTGCTGGTGAGGCCACATCTGGAGTATTGTATCCTGTTTGCCCCCCCGCCAACCCTATACAGAAAGGATGTAGACAAATTAGAGAGAGTCCAGTGGAGGGCAATGAAAATGGTTGGGGACTTGTGAAGAGAGACTGAGGAAACTGGGCTTATTTAGTGTATAGAAGAGACGACTATGGGGGGATTTAAGAGCAGCCTTCAACTACCTGAAGCAGGGTTCAAAAGAGGCTGGAGCTGGGCTGTTCTCAGTGGGGGCAGATGACAGAACAAGGAGCAATGGGCTCAAGCTGCAGCAAGGGAAGTTGAGGTTAGATATTAGGAAAAACTTTCTCGCTAGGAGGGTAGTAAAGCACTGAGACCAACTACCCAGAGAGGTTGTGGACTCCCCATCCTTGGAGGTTTTTAAGACCTGGCTAGACAAAACTTTGGCTGGGATGATCTAGTTGGGGATGGTCCTGCTTTGAGCAGGGGGTTGGACTAGCAGGGACTGAGGTCCCTTCCAGCCCTTATTTTCTATGATTCTGTGTTTGGACTAAGGGGCCTGTCCACAACTGGAGCTCCCCGCCAACTGGCATCGGAGCTGAGCTTGACCACCAAGGCAAATCAGACCCAAGGAGTCCACTGAGCTGGAGGGCTGGAGACCCAGCTCAGGGGTGACTTAGCAGAGGGATGTGGCTGTGGGAGGTCCTCTGCTCCAGGAAGCGGCAATCTATGTTCCATGCTCACCATACATTTAGGAGGCCAGCAAGCTAGGAGACTGGGGACAAGATGGTTAGGGGAAGCTGTGGGAGAAGGGGAGCCCTGGGACACATAGAAGAGATGGGGAAACTACCTTCCACCACGTAGAGAGAAGCAAAACCATTCTTCAGCTAGAGCTCCAGTCCAGCTGGTGCCACGCTCTGCAGCTGGGTATTGGGCAACTCCTTAGTGGGTGCAGCATTATGATCATTACAGTTGTGCCTCTGGGCCCTAATCAGGAACCAGATTCCCTTTGTGCTCCCTATTTGCACTGGCGCCTGGGCCCATCGTTGCCACCTGTCTCCAGTCTCATGATGCTCCCTTCGACCTGTAAGACAGGGAAACGAACTGCCTGGACCTGTCCTGGGTCTGTTGAGGGGAGGGTGTGTCCAACAGGTTGCAAAGCAGCTGGCTCTGGCTTTGAAGTTTGGGAGCCCTAGAGTAAAGGCAGATACTCTGGGAGGGGGTTGTTGTTTGTGTCTCTGCTTGCAGTGCCAGGTCAGGACTCTGGAAATCCACTGCCATCACACCCCAGGGGGCTAGGAACTGGGCCAGCCCTTGTAGCAGCCCCGTGCCAAGAGACCGTGGCGGGGTTTGCTTTATGGATTCACGTTGTTTGCTGTTTCATTCAGAAACCATCCTGGTTGTGCGCTGAATTGACTCTGCTTGAGTGTTGCCCTGCAGTGAAATCCTTGCTTTCTAATAAGGAAAGGCAAATGGCTGTGAAATTGAGCACGCAGCGGAGGAACAGGCAGCTCTCCCCGTGGGACACGCACAAAGGCTGCTCTTCCCCACGGCGCTGGAGGTACAATCCCAGCCCAGCTCAGCACTTTTCCTAAAGGGATTCCAGGCTGTGTCCAGATCCCACGGCCCAGAGGGAAAGCCCAGCTCCCCCGAATTCTCCTCCAGCTTTTCAGAGCATTTTTTTCAGCACCTGCATCATTTTGACCAGAAAGGGCAGGGCTGCACCAATGTCCATGCACGCTCACTCCGCTTGCGTCCACTCTGGAGTGGTGCTGGTGTGCTGAGAGCAGGCATTGGTCCTGAGTGAACATTCACCCTTGGAGTTGAACGGCTGGGGAGGTCCATGGAGAGTGCCCCACTCTGCCCATCTCCAGCACTCACTAAAAGCCTTGCCATCGTCTCTCATGGTGTTAACAACCCCATTTCACAGACGGAGGAACTGAGGCATGAAGCAATCACGCAACAGGTCAGCTGCAGAGCTGGGAACGGCACCCAGTGGCCCTGCGCCCTGGACCTCTTCCCTAGCCATTAGACACCGCTCCCTGGCAAAGCACTTCTGCTGCATGGAACTGAGACAATCGGGAGTCAGTCCCTGAGACAACCTGGTCCTAGGCCACACTGGGCTTTGGAGACACCACTTGGGAATGAACTGGCACGTCTGTCTGCATCCCTTTCATGTCCCAGCGGAATACAATTTTCCCGCGGCAGGCTCTATTATATGAGGCTATGCACACTTCCTTCTCTAAGGGCTGTCCCCTCCACTTCTTCCACACCCTCCTACCCCCCTATTTCACACACAACAATTTGAAGCAGACAACCGGGGGTGGTGAAGTTCTCTGGCCCTTGCAAAGAGTAACAACATTCACCCACTAGGTGGCACAGGACAAATGCCGAGTGCTTCCCCCTGCCACGCGCGGAGATTGCATCCCACAGCAAAGCCTTCCTTGGACGCATCTCCAGGTGGAATCCAATGAGAGACCAGAAATCGGCCCGAGATCCTGAGGGTCGCCTGTTGATGGGAGGGGAAGGGGTGATGCTACCAAAGGGCTCAGCTCTGTCTGTCTCCACGCCGCTTCCTCCCAGCTCAGAGGCGCTGGAGCTTGCCCAGCCATTAATGATGCCATGGCATTGTTTGTAAGAGGTGTTGCCTAGGACTCTGGACCCACCTGCTTGTGTAGTACTTGCTTGGCTGTTGTACTTGGCCCTAAATGTCTTTCCAGGATCACGGAGTGCTAGCAGAGGGGTAGTAACTTTGCTGTTGTTATCTGAATGGATGAACTCTCTTTCCCGCAGAAAAAATGCAACCGTATTGCACCCAGTGACAAGGAGGAGCTTCCTGCTGCCAGTCCAGCACAAGGAAACAAATTCTGAGTTGCCAAAAAAAGGAAAAATTCAGTGGAAAATTGGCCTGATAAAGAAGTCAGAGGACAACTTCTACTGTAAACCCCTTAGGGCAGGGGTAGGTTGTGTGTTCTGTGCTCATACAACAAATGACAACTAAGCCTGACACTTCTAACATAATAGTAATTAGTAATAGCTCTTGTACATGTTCTGCCCCCACCAGTTGTTTCAAATGTGACCTTGTCTCTCTTGTTATTAAAGAGCAGCCTTCACTGCCTGTATTGAAAGACCATTGCTTGAACGCATCTCGTTGGCATCCTCTGCCTTGCAGTCCTTGGCCCTAAACAACACCCATGGGCTCCATTGGGTTACTTGGGGCAGCAGAGTGCAGTACATACGTATGGTTGTGTCTACGCGTGACGCTACACATGTCTACACGTGACCACCAGCTATTTTGCCATAGTGGTGCGCTCCCCACTTATAGTGCACCACTACGGAGAAGTAGCTGCTAGCAATAACCATGCACCGTGCATATGGTGCGGTGCAGGCGGTTACTGCACCATGCTTTAGGACTTCCAAAAGGAGTACTAAAGCATGGCTCAGTAACAATGTCACCATAGGGCAATGTGTAGACGTGCCCTACGTTTCATGGGGAAGAGAAAGGGAGTCAGATAGTTGGGGCCTCACCCCGTTGCTCTGGGCATTCACACCGGGGGTATAAATGGGATAGAATGGGTGCACATACAGCCATAGCCCTTAGTTTTATTGGGAATCTATTGATCATCTCATCCATAGCCACTGCCTTCTCTTCCTTTTTATTTCCCTCTCCATCTCTCTGCCTTTCCCCCCGTCCATAACAAAGCCTATGCAAAGACCCTATGTGGGAGTCACCACTGGTGTGACAGGCAGAGCCAGTCGCTTTCTCTCTGGGTCCATCTTCTCTGTCTTCAAACCTTTGGCTGCTTCCTTCTTTCTCCCCTCACCTTTCTGCTCCTCCTCCATCTGCTCCTCTGTGGGCCTCGCTCATGAAACAGAGGGGCTAAAATTGTCTCTATGACACCGGTGCAGCTTTAGTGAAGTCAGTGGTGCAAGTGAGCGGCAATCATCATGACTCCAGACCCATCTACAGCTCTTCCCATCCGTGGACCCAAAGGTGAGTCCGTGTTTTTATCCCCATTTTATTGATGGTGAGATGGGGGCACAGAGAAGGGAAATGATTTGCCCAAGGTTGGACAGGGAATCAGTGGCAGACCTCTGTGCTTAGTTCATTTGGCCAGAATTGCAGGGCAGATGCCTCTAAGGGCTCCAAGCTCGGCAACGAGATGTGGTTCCCTGCTCCTGTTTGTTAGTGACCCCAGCTGGGAGCGTGCAAAGAGCTGGTTTCCTCTTGGCATAGAAATGGGAAAATCAGAGAAATCCTCCCAGTGGGGCACCACATGAGAAGGGAAGCGGGTAACACTGCTGGCTCATGAGACAGTATCAGGCCCATGCTGTCCCTGCTAGCCACACAGAACAAACTCCATCTCTCCTTCTCGGTGCAGATCTCTCCCTCTTTCCTCTCTCCTTTTCCTCTGTCACCACCTCCGCCTTTCCTCAGTCCCTGTCTCTGCCTGGCTCCTCACTCCAATGCCTGCTCCTTGCTTCTTTTCTCCCTCCTTCCCTCCTCTCTGTCACCATCTCCCATCCCCCTTCCCCTCTTTCTGTGTGCATCTCTTCATAGACCTCAGAGCAGCGAGTGCACAGCCCTGGAACGCTCTCCTTTAGGCCTCCTGCCAAAAGGAACGGCTTTAACCTTTTCCCACCCACAAGAGATGCGAGGCAGGAGGAGCATTCGCAAGAGCATCTTCCCAAAGGCTGAAGCCAGCCTTTCCCATGGCCCTGCAGAGGCTCACCCCAGGCAGGGCCCATGCCAGAGCTCGGTGCTTCTCCAGACACCCCCGCCAGCGTGGGGGCGGATGAAAGGGGCACGTGCGAGGGCTGCGCGTGGGGATCCGTTTTCTTTCCATTGAGAGGACATCCCCAGCCCCCCACACACCATGAAAGTACAAAGGGCTTCCTGTTCGTAGGCGGACGCCATCCTGCGCCAAAGACTGTGTTGTGCAGGAGGGGAACTCCACCTGAACCAGGAGGGTTTCCTCCTCCCACAGCGGTGGGGGGCCCTTTCACTTTTATTCGTTTAAAGAGATCTTTCCAAAGCCCCGTGCACTTCAACAGGTTTATTTTTAACCACTTGCTTCCAAGTGGCATTAGAGTCCAAGGCCTGATGCCACAGTGGACATTGTGGGGGATATCCAGTTTGTAGGAGCACCACCTTCTTTCCTCTGAGAAGGCCCCTGGCATGCCATCATGGTCTGGTCACTCCTGAGCATTCAAACATCATCAGGCCGGCCCCAGGGAACCAGGAACCTGGTTTGCAAACATCCGAATTTAAAAAGAAATGAAGAAGAATTTGGTGCTTATGTCATTTCCCTTCTAGTTTCTCAGCCTCCAGGGTCGCACTTTTGTTTCACATTTTGCCTCCGCAGCCACGAGTGCTCAAAAGTGACTTCATCTTAAAGGAAAGCTGAGACCCTCAGCTAATCGCATGCCACCCAGACTGGAGGGGAGGGTACAAACCATCGCAGAAATCATGATCAAATCACAAGATTTTAAAATCACGCCGAGTTATACTTGATTTCCTATCCTAACTTGCTGTGCAGTGTTTCTGGGCGCTATCACACAGCTGTTACAGTCCATCCCAGAGGTGGCTGCATTTCAGTGATGGCCTCTGGCCTATTTAGGGAGAACCTGGTGAAAGGTTTTACTAAATCTTTTAAAGCCCTAGGAGATCTGTGAGTGCAGGTGCAGCATATCATTAGTAGTCATCTCATACCCTCCCCGTGTGTTGTCAATTAGACTCCAATAAGGTGATGACTGGGAACTAACTTTGACCCCAGGTCAGATCTGGACTTCTTCCCAGCTGAAGGGTGTTAGAATGGAAATGACCCCTTCAGTTCAAACAGCTGGCTGTGAGCTTTCTCCAAATCCAGGGAAAATTTAGGATCCACAGGTCTTCTTTAGATCTTCTGTTTCTGCAAGGCCAGTAGAAGAATCAGGGAGGAAAACCATGATGGGAAAGAAGGAAGTTGCCCCTTTTGCTCATCAGCACTGGAGAGTTGGAAAATGTTCATGACAATTTGGATTCCTTCTCCAGCTAGCAGTAACAAGCCTTTGGCTCAGTAGTGAGGCTGGCATGGGTGATGGGAGATGTATTCAATGCTATCAAAATATACTGTCAGACTTTGGTGCCAGCCACAACTGGAACAGTATTTGGGCTCTGCCCTCAACCAGAGTATGGTCTATCTCGAATCCGAGTCCTGTAAAATCAGCATTTTTCAGGGGTCAGTCATGCTACACATTGGGGGCTTCACATCTTGGGGTTTCCTTAATGGGTCAGTGTCTGTTACTTAACCCTGGGTTAGGTAAGACCGCTCAGGGGAAATCCCTGCCATTCTGACTTCTCCTGAACTGCATTAACTCATTTGTACTTGTGTTACATAAAGGGAACTGGGCTTCCTTCCCCTGCCCACCACACATGCTCACAGTTCCCCCCTCAAGTGCTAGTTCACAGGGGCCAGGCAGAGGCCAGTTGCGAGGGGCTTGTTAGTGATACAGTTGGGCTTGCAGGCATTCCCTGTGTTGCTCTCTGTCTGCGTGAGCTGGAGGGCTCTTTGGTCCATGGTGTCAGCCCCTGAACTGGGCCCTGGGCAATACAGTAAGCAATGGATTCTCCTCTCATCTCTGCGCTAGGGCAAAGTCACTCTATTGCCAGTTTTGAAGAGGGAAAACCCAGCTGGACACAGGCCAGATACAGCACAAAGTCTGTATTTCTCAGACCACCTCATTTATGGACAGTGTCCATTCCCGTTGGCCAACTCAGCTGTCAGCCTCTCCGTTGGCTCGTGCCCCCTGTGAGACGGACACCTCCTGCCATGCACTTGGACTGAGACCCACCATGTTACTCGCTCAGCTATGTGTAGATGGGGTGGTGGGTCCAGTTTTCCCATCCCTACTCTGAGCAGCAGTTCAGAGCCATGCCTGATTACATTGCTTCCCCTCTGAAACAGCAGGCAGAGTATCGGGGTCCCCAACTCTGATCTGTCACCTGTGAGCTGAACAGCACCACCATTCAAGCAACCTTACTGACGCCTTTTGGACTCAAAAAAGTAAAGGTCTTGAAAATGATACCAGTTCAGAGCAGAACCTGATGATGGAGCTGGATGTACGAAGCAAGAGTCAAGCAAGCAGTGACTTTGCTCCCAGCCTCCTTCTGACAGCACCCAACCCAACAGTGTCCTCTGTTCCCCTGTCTTTCCTGGGCCTTGCACTTCTGTTGCTGAGTCTGGCTTACTATTCCTTCCCTCCATCTGTGTCCAGGCTATCTCCTTGCTTCTCTTCAGGCCCCACATACTCCTCTACCAGAAACAATGCCCAAGGAAACCCTCTACCCACATAGTTCTAATTCCTGACTGGTTTCACATATGTCCTTGTTTTGGGCAGTGACATAGGCCTGTCTTGGGTGGGAGGTCTCTGTTATATTCATCTTGAATGAAGACTGTTGCTTACACCTACCAGCTTCAATGCCCCGAGACTCAACCCACAACGGTACCACTTCGGGTACCATTTAGCTCAGGGATGGGCAAAATGTGACCCACGGGCCAGATACGACCTGCCAGGCCATTCTATCTGGCCTGTGGGGCCCCTAAAAATGTATATATCTGCCCCTGACTGCCTGTCACACGGCCCTCGATGGATTGCCAAAACTCAGTAAGCAGTCCTCTGCCCAAAATAATTGCCTGCTCCTCTCGTCTGCCTCTCGCCTGCCCAGAAGAAGACTCTACTGGTAGGTACACAAGTCAGGTCACGTCATGGATGGCACAGCCTAGTAGCCCTGCTTTGTGTCTACCAGGGAGCCTCTGTGGAGCTGAAAAAGTCTCATGGTGGAGATATTGCTTTGGGAGACTAAGGATGCAGACTCAGGTCCTGGCTCTGCTGCAGACTTCTTGTGCGACCTTGGGGAAGTATCAGTGAACTAGGCTGTTCCTCGCAGGCTCCTGCCGGGAGCAGTTCTTGTTCTGATTCTATTTTTACCAGCAATCTAGATGATGTATAAAAGTTTTGGTGGTGTAGTTTCCAGATGACACCAGACTGGTGGGGTAGCAAACAATGAGAGCAG